CACACACATACGCCCACACACACACACACACACACACACACACACACACACACACACACACACACAGAGATAGAGCCCACCCCAACCTATTGCACATCTGCTGCCCTGCACATTCAAGTTTTTAATTAACTGCCTTACAAAGATTTTCGGGAATTTGTCCGGGGGTTTTTCTTCTTTTTGCTTCTTTTATTTTTTTTTTTGTTGGGGTAGTCAACTAAATTGTGTGCCTTGGGGCGCCTTGCCACGAATTGAAATTCTCTTGTTTGCTGTCTGGAATTTAATATGCCAGAATTGCAGGGTCATATCCGGGGCATGCCCGACCAGGCCCGACCCCGACCCCTACCCCGACCACGACTCGAACTGCCCTCGCGACATTCGCTAATTAAACTTTTTTTTGTTAAACGCTTTAAACATATGGCGCTTGCCAATACCCTACAAAAAGGCGCCGACCCGCTACCGGCCCCGCCCCCAACCCCGCCCCCGCCGCGACTCCGCCGGTAATGACAAATGGTTGTCAGTTTGTGAGCTGCCGCCAGCATTGCAGCTGCTGCGCCAGTTGCCATTTCACAATTGGACGAGGCGCCCGAGCCCGACCCTCCGAAAAAGGGGGGAAAAAAAACTAGAAAATTAAATCGAGTAGCGTCAGGAAAAACTAAAGCCAAACTTTATTTTTTGCCCACCTATATAGAGCATTGCAAAAAGTCATGTTGGCGCACGGCGTGGATTGTTGAGAGTGAGGGGGGCAGGGGTGGTTAGAGGGGGGCACTTGGTGGAAAGTAATAAATGAAGTTGGCAGCTGTGTGAGGGATTTGAGCGCAATGGGGAGGTGGGGCGGGCTCGTTGTGCAATTAACTGTAAAAATGCTGTCACAATATTTAAAACTTTTAATTGTTTGTTCAATTGCAACGGCAACTGCAACAATGTGGCGCCACTTGGCGTTGTGCAACACTTACGCTTTAAGCAACAAACTTAAAGGGCAAGCGCTTTGCCCGATGCCCAGCGCCTGTACGCATCCATATCCGCATCCGCATCCGCATCCGCATCCGCATTCGTATGCACATTCTCACATTCTCGTTCGCATTCGCACTCGTATTCGCATTCGCATTCGTGTTCTCTTTGTCATCAACAGCCGCAGTTGTCGTTTCATGTTGTTTCGTTTCTACTCGTTTCGTCGCTCGCTCGTCTCGTCTCGTCTCGTCTCGTCTCCTAACGGTTCGCGTTTCGATTTCGTTTCGTTGTTGTTTTTTTGCAAAAATAATTTAACATGAATATATCGCATTTCATGGAGTCATACATCACACGGCGGCAGGCAACATGCGGCTGCCGCTGTGGGCGTCGGGGCGTGCCAGCTGCAGGGGACGCAGCCGACGCCGGGGACGAGGGCAGCAGCACACAGGCAAGTGACAGCACTAACATAAACCACAATAATATCCAAAGTCATGAAGAAAGTAACCAAGTGTGAATTTTCGGTTTATGCCTCGCGAAACAGAGCGGCCCGGCGGCCCGCGGCCCGCGTCGCTGTGCACCCTACACAATTTAGGCACAGTCAATGGCCATTTAATTGTATTCTGTAATGCAACAGCTGCTGCAAATGCAACTGCATTTGCTAAAACAGGTTTCGACAAGTTCTTGAACTTGAACACGACTATTTTAATTTACAGCGCGAAAGCTCAGCTTTGATGTGCTTTCTCCCATTGAGTTTGCTTAAGCTGCTGCAATGCAGCGCAGCCTTGATGTAAGCTTTTAAAGCTTTTTTGCATGCCCCCCAACGTTCACTCAAAGAGAGTTTCAGAGATTTGCGTACTGTTGAAGAGTCATTCCGCTCCTCTCTTTTCAACTGAGCTCCTGTAGTTCGGAGCCCAGCTTGAATGTAAGTCTTCAAAGCGCTTTCCCGCTTACCCCATCAAATAGTTTCACTTCGTTTCTCTTCTTTTTGGTGGAAAATATTTGTACATGTAAGGCCGCAGGTCTACACATCACGATTGTTGTCCTCTGGTTTTGACACTCTAGAGGACGAAAAAATAATAGTTTTACTTGTGATTTGCTTTAAAAAAATTATGTTATCAATTAAAATTAGCAGTCGACTTTAAATCTTCTGAATCAAAACAAAAACAAAAAAAAAAAAGATGAAGATGTTTCTGAGATTAGGAACTGTATTGGTCTACAAACTTGTATCTTTTATACTATTAAGTTTTAGACAGACAAGAGCTTAGCCCGCAAACTATAAATCGTTCAAATTGTATATCTCTTTCCAAGGCTTTTCTCAATTGTAGCTCATTACCAGATTCCTTCTAGCCGGTCCGCAGCTGTACCCTGCGCCTGCCTCTGTCCTGAGCTGTTGTGTTGTGGCCTGTGGCCTGTGTCCTGACTCGCTGGCGCTGGGCGTCCCTTGCAGTTGTTTTAGTTTGAGCTTCCGTTTCGCGGACAGTTTGCTTTGCTGCTTTTTATTCTTGTGTGATTCTTTGACTGCACACACACACACACACACACACACACACTCTCCCTCTCTCTCTCACACACACACAGACAAAAAAAATTGTTGCAACAAAACATTTACGACGTCATCGTTTCACAATTTTCGTCCAGTTTTGTTTTGTATCTTCAAATAAAAATTTGTTGTTGTTGCCGCCCTTGTGCTCGCACTCCCCCAGCGGGGCAAGTGTGTAAGAGCAGCACGAACAAAAGGAAAACCCGGCAGCAGAGAGCGAGCGAGAGAAAAAGTGTAAAAAGTAAGGAAAACCTCGTGTCATTTATCATGCATTTCCACTTTTGGCTTCCGTCGGCCCGGACATATCCCAACACAGACGAATGCACGAAACGGACGCAGAGACAAGCGGATGGACAACTGAGAGTCGAGTGCGAGTGGCAGCAGGAACAGGAGCGGGACGCTGGCTGTTCAGCCGAAGCATGACCAGGACCAGCTCAAATGATGTGTGCGCTGCCTTTGCCGCAAGACAAAAAATGAACAAAAGAAAAACAAATAAACGAAAACATACAAAACACATTGCAGTGTCAGTTGTGTGTGTGTGTGTGTGTGTGTGTGTGTGTGTCTGAGTCTGTGTGTGTCCTTTTTTTTGGCCAGCTTAATGCCTCAAAATTCCTGCTGCAACTCTGGCGGTGGGCCCTGTCAAAGTTGCGGCTCTCAAACTCTGCAATTCGTGTACATTTTATGGAGCCGCATCGGCGCCGCATTCTCTGGGACAAATGAAGCGGACCACAAATCATCGGCAGACGCCCAATTTATGCGTTTTCATTTGGCCAACAATTCGCTTTTCATTTTCATATCCTGTGCAATTTCCATCCCCCCTCCCCGCCACCAAAATCCAACAAAATCGATCAAAAAACCCAAAGGAATTCTGTACCAACAAAAGATACATTTGCATCTGTAGTGGAACTTGCGATAATTGAATACACTTGCAGTTTTATTTATTAATCAGCTTTTGCCCGTTACCAAGAAAACGGCGCAGATTTCGATTAATTGATACGAATTTCGTCTTCACAAAACATTTTCATGCTCTCACGTTTTTAAGAATTCAGAAGTAGAAGAAAACGGAGCTCAACTTTGCCATCTTTTAGATATTTCCTCTGGAAGTGAAACGAAAGAATAAAAAAGTTTTTCAAGTTATTTGCATTTGAATTGTGCCACTTTTTTTTTTCTTTTTGCCAATCAATTTGTGGCGCGACATGTTTCACAAGAGTGGCATAAAACGTGGACAAGTTGTCGATTTTTGACTCAACCCGAAGGTCTATTCTATACAAATAATAACAGCAAAAGGTGCTCTGGTCGGGAGTGCCCGATAAGCAGATACCCTCAATCCAGCGCTATGCTCTCCTATACAAAGACTCTTTACTCTTTACACTCTGCGGAAAATGCATCCTTGATTAACTTCGGTGTTTATCCAAGGCATAAAGAGGCCCAAGACTATGCTTAAAATAAAAATACATTTTTGCCGGGGACGGGTTGGGGTATGTGCATACTTAACTGCAACCTACATAAAATATTCGATTTATCTAGCGCTTCTACGCTTGAGAATCGATACTTATCGATTTCGTGCCAAAGGGTTTCATATCAACCATTTGTGATTAATATAATCTGTGCGTGTCCTATCCAACATTCAAAACTTACTCACAACAAAACCCTGGAAGAGAAATTGAAAAAGGACTGCGATGAAATTGTCTTTTATTCCCTATGAAGCTGATAAGGTATTACGGAAGAACCTTTTGCCCCTTAAGTCTAGCATAGTGTGATCAAGGATATTGTATCTTAAATTTGTATTATATCATTATGTTTGGCCATCTACTACAGTTGATCTACACTGTTTTGTATCCGTGTTCAGTTCAGTGATAAGGCTTAATTCTTAGTTCTAGAATATCCTCACCAGAATGTACATAAGGGTCTTAACCCGTTAAGGCAAGTCTTATGAGATCGAAGCCGAAGTCGTTAGAGGTTATCATTGGCATGATATGTAACTTGGTTTGCTTATCAGTATATTTTTTAAGCATCGAATATTTGTGAGAGTCCATCGACTACTCGCAGGCCCTTTACTCCTGCTCTTGGGCCTCTGGCCCCTTGACACTTAAAGCAACAAATGTGTGACTGCAGGCTGGGGCGGAGGCGGAGGCGGGACGCGTGTGGGCGTGTCATATGCGGCAAGCAGAGTAATGTAAAGTAAAGTCAAGTCGGGGCAAAACTGCGCCAAACAAATGCGACGCCACTTGGTCGGCGTCTGCTGACTGTTGTCTGTGTCTGCCCCTGCCCCCCGCCTGCCCGGGCGTCCAACTGGGCGCCTGTATCTGCGTTGTGACGCAAACAACCGCAATGAACTTGAGCCCAGCTGTCAATGTGATAAATAAAGTTGGCTTTGCACTGGGCTCTGTTGCTACCTATGCATGTATGTACATAGGTTCGGGCTATCCTTCTTGGAATGGAATAAATGGAATGAAGACGTGTTTATGAATCTGCCGCCAACTAGCTAACAATCAGTTTCCTCTCTTTGCAGCAACAAAACCCGAGCAGTAGAAGCAAATCCAAGGATCTGGCTGAGCTCATACATAAAAGCACGCTTGCGAGAATACCGTATAATATGGGCGTGGCACGCCTTACCCTAATGCTGCTGGTAGCAGCAATGCTGCAGCTGAACCATGTGGATGCCTATTCCAGTACGTATACGTAATATTGAGCTGAATACCTTTGTTTTTTGTTGTCCTCGTTGCTCTCTGTATCACTCTACGATCATCTTTCTACTCCCTCACCTACTCGACCTCCTGCTGTTACTCCTTCCACGCCTCTTTTGACGCGTTGGATTCTTGCTCGGATCTGTGTCCTTTATCCCACCTCCCACCACCTTATAACCGTCTTTTCGTAATGTACAAATTATCATGCATTCATCGTCATCGTCATCGTCATCTTCATTATCATCACGATCAACATGGTTTTCATCGTTACGCGACCACGTATTACCTTATAATTTGTATTATTTTAACTTTTTTCCCCTCTCGAAACCAAACACTCAACAAACTGCTCCCAACACCAACACCAATACGACCCCGACTCCGACTCCGACTCCGACTCCGGTTCCGGTTCCGTATCCGTTTCTGTCTTCGGTTCCGTTTTCGTTTAACTGTGAAGAGTATGGACGCGGCTGTGCCGACATTGGTTGCCTGCCCACTGAGGAGTGCGTTATCACCAGCGATTCGTGCAGCTATAATCAGCGCGATGGCAAGGACTGCGGCAATTATCCGACCTGCAAGCGCAAGAGCGGCTCGAGCAGCAACCAGGCAAATCCCTCCTCCTCGTCGTCGTCAGTTAATCCGTCAGGTATTTATTTTATTTGTTTTGCTTCTTTTATTTTTATTCATTTTTTCTTTGAGATATTATTTTGTATGCCTTATTCACTTGAAATTTTGGGATCGGGCGGGGCTTTTACCAAATTGACGGCGGAAGAATCGTCGTAGATGCACAGATTGACAGACTTACAGACGGATAGAGAAAAGTACGAATGCATATATATATGTATATTAGAGGTGCCCATTGATAATTGTTACTTATCATTTGCTTTATTTTCAATGTTTATTTTGTATATAACAACCTACCTTACAAGTACTACATACATACATATAGATCAAGAGATTTACCCAATACTCTCTCACACACGCATGCACACACAAACACACACAAATGCTACGCTATCTTTGTCTTACTCATATAAATGGAGTTGTGTTTTTTGTTTCATTCCACTTGCACTTTCGCCCGCTCATTCATTGCCTCATTTTACAACACTAAGCTTTGGCTGGTGCACATCACAAATACATACACATGCATATGCATCGCAGTTGCGCTCATTTGCTTCTGCCTGCTGCTCTCTTTCGCAAACACTTACACACACACACACACGCTCACATGCACATCCACTGCTGCTGCTGCCAAAGCTCAAGATCCAAGCTCCAAGCTCTGGCAAGAGTAGACGCCATATAAAGTGAGAGCGAAAGCGAGAGAGCTTGAGCCTGAACGCTCGCTTACTCGCACGCAGCAGAAGCAGCAGCAGCAGCTTGTGGATCGTTCAGCGCTGATTAACCAATTGTATCGCATTTTCTGTCTCATTCTTTTACACTGCTCTCGCTCGTCGTGGCACTGGCAACGGCTTACTAACAGGATCCAGCCTAAATACGGGGCCTGAGAATAATATATTTGCGCCGGCCTCATCGAATCCCACACTTAACACATACACCTATTTTAATCACAATAACAATAATAACAACCAGAACGGTGGGCATCAAAATGGCAACCAGCAGCCGTTGGGCGGCCAGGGCGGCGCACAAAATGGCGGCCAGGGTGGCAACCAAAACGCCGCCAGTGCTCAGGGTTCGAATGGGGCCGCGGGTGCCTCGTCCACCGGGATCGATCAGCATTATGTGTTCGGGGCCAAGCATCATATGCCCATAATACCCAATATGCCAATCTTTCCCTACAATTCGCCCACGCAAGCACCATCATTTCAACAGTTTCCCCAACCCAATCATCCAGGTAGCGTGCTCAATCCCGGCTATCCCATGCATGGCCTGCAGCCGGTGAACCCCTACAATCCACCGTTCGTATTTGGTCAGCTGCCGTTCTATTCGGGACCGGCCGGCACTGGCGGACCGCCTGGCGGCGGCGCCGGCGTCGGCATGCCCAGCTCCAGCATAGGCATCCTCGGAGGCGGCGGCGGCGGTCTGGCGCCATATGGAAGCAATTATCAGGGCTATCAAACACATCATCAGAATGCGAACATGTACAACAAGCCGCCGCCACAGTACCAGAACCAGAACCAACAGAATCCCTACAATCGCCAGACCCAAGCACATCCTTCGGCAGCGGGGCGACGCGTCAATTCCAGCGCTCCGCTCATCGGTCTACTCGCAGTCCTGGTGTTGCTGCTGGCTAACGGAGGCCGCGACAGTGCCAGCACGTAATAAGATGCAGCAGTTGCTCTCCCGCCACTGATACCCTTCACTCTTGATCCTGCAACACGACGACGACGATCAACCATGTGCAAATCCTTTGCTTGCTTGGTTTCTTTCAATTTCCCCCTTATTTTCTTTTATTATTTTCACTGGTTTTTGGGCCCTAGATTAAGACACTTAAAGCGGGCTTGTACGAAATCTACAGCAACAGCAACAGCAGCAGCAGCAACAACATTACTGACAGGAAAGACCTATGGAAACAAGAACAAAGCGTTAAATAATTGGTTACAAGGCATATTTAAGTAAAACCCACAAGCAGGATAATCTTTTGCATATAGACAAAACATAAAACACGCCCACAATATTATTGAAGCTATTTATTTTCTATACATTCTCAGCTTACAGCACACCACGCCCCGAGCGTATACGTAATATTCAAATAAGATTGTGCGTGCGTGCGTGTGTCTGTTTGTGTGTGTGTGTGTGTGTGAGCTGATTTGTGTGTTGGTCCAAATTTCAGTTAGTAGCCGGTCTATGCGTAGTGCTGGCCCTGAAGGCTCGTTGCACTTCTCTCTGTTTTTTGCAGCTCAATTAAATTGGAATTTAATTTGGGGCTTAGAGCCAGTGCTTGCAACAGCCACAGACTTGGCTGCATGTCGGACACACACACGCACACACACAGTTAATTTAATTTTTTTTGCTGCTGCGAATTTTGCGGCAACCATTTCCGGCTTTTATTTAGTTGTTGCAGTTGCAGTTGCTGTCGATTGAAATAGTTGCAGCCCAGGCACAGTTGTTGTAGCTACAGCTACGCGTGTCAATCAAATTGCAAAATAAGCAGGTTTAGGGCTGCAAGCAAAAAATTACAATTAAAACAAAAAAATCGAAATTTAAATAAAAAAACGAATTCCGCTCTAGAAATCAAGAAATTTAGTAACCAAAGCGGTTTACTTAAAGCGGTTTACTAAAAAGTGCACAAAGTACACAATTTAATGTAATTTTAAAACAATTTTTTTTTTTATTTGCAAAAGTCGTTTGCAATTATTCAAAATAATAAAAGTAAGAGAAAACGCAGAGAGTTACCAATCAAATTTGCAAGTAATAATATTAAGATAAATATGAAAAGATAAAATAACTGCCAGGAAAAAAAAAAAGAATTACGAAAAATAGCTATACACATATAGTTGAGAATCAATTAAATGCCAAAAGTTTCAATGAAATCCCGCAACAAACTCACGAACTTGCAACAACATTTTAACAACTTGCAACAAATCGGACATCTGGAACAGATCAAACAGCTGCCTGATGCCAGATTCAGTCGATAATAATTTGAAATATTAAAAAATAATAAAAATGATGAGGTATAAGAACTGAATCTCAGCAGGCAGCACTCTCTTTTCATTTCAATTCAAAACAATACCAAAACGAATATTCATTTGAATGAATAAGAAAACTAAACAGAAAATGTTTTAAAAACATGTTTAAAAAAAACATATACAAACTTGTATTTCATTTAAATATTTAAATTTAACGTTTTTGTATATCTTTTATTATTGCACGCACCTGAACCACTTTTTATTATAATTATTATTACTCAGTTTAATTTTTACGTATTTTATTATTTTTGTAAAACGAATTTATTTGCAAATAAATCAACTGAAAATAGAGCAAATCGAAAGTATATACGTATAAATATAATTACTCCGTCCGAATACGCATTTTGCGCATTGTTAATTTGATTTCTCATTTATTTGTTTAAACACACACACACACACACACCCACATTGGAACTCTACTAAAAATGTCATGTAAACAGTATTAAAGAACTAACTAAAGCATTTGATGAAATATACTTAAACTTAACCCTGGCAAAAAACAAATACAAACAACCAATAAAATAACCATGTGAAGTGCATGCAAATATTAATTAAATATTGAAGATAAACGTCTTGATATCTATTAGACATAGGACATTATGTTAACGAAAGGGTTTTCAAGCTATTCAACTATGCCCACTGCAAAACAGGCAAGAGAGGCATTACTTACATATATCTATATTGACCGTCTCGAATAGTTGATAACTTGGCGTTGTACATAGCATTCCCATACTAACGAATAATATATATATATATATATATATATATATATATATATATATATATATATATATATATATATATATATATATATACATATATACATATATATATTTAAACATATATTTAAAATATACACATAAATAATTAACTTAACCATACGGCAGAGAAGACTTATAAGAACTAAGCAACAAAAAACAAAAAAAAAAAAGAAAAACAAATCAAACTCAAAGTTGTGTAGGATTTAAATGTTGCAATAACGATAACGATAACGATAACGATAATTTTATCGATTGTAGGCATATGCATAATACGCTAATCAAAATGAAACGAGCAACTGTAATGAAACTAAGCTAAGCTAAGTTATTCAAAAGAAGGCCATACCAAAAAACCCTTCAACCACCACCCCGCCACCCTTCCCCTTCCACTCATAGGTTTGTTGTGCTTTTATTTCATTTATGTTAAGTTTGCTGTTTATGCCATATGTTTTGCCCCGTTTTCCTAATGCTTTTTATGTTTCTGTTTCTTTGATTTTTTGTTTTTCATTTTTGTTGTCAATCGCTTTTGTGGCTAACTCTTACTGCTTACTGCTGTGCTGCTACTGCGCTGCCTGCCTGGTGAAAAGTGAGCAGCGGCAACACCCACAACTCGTATGCACCGAATGCGCCCAGCGCTCCGCTGCCGGAGGCAGATGGCAACCAGGGTGGCGCTGGAGGCGCAGCTGGTGGCTACAGTGGCGGCGGCGCCGGTGGATATGGTAATGGCTTCTCGGCTGGCGGTCATAGTCTCTATCCCTCACTTCCTAACAACAACAACAACAACAATAACAATGGTGGTGCTGGCTACAATCCGTACGGCGGCTACAATCCCCAAGGTGGCTACAATCCGCAGGGCGGCTATCAGCCCGCTCCTGGTGGCTATCAACCAGCTCCAGGTGGCTACCAGCCCGCTCCAGGTGGCTATCAGCCTGTGCCCGGCTATACTCCGCCCGCGCCTGGCTATGACAATGGCGGCGGCGGCGCCGCCCAGAAGCCCAAGGACAAGCAAGGCGGTGGCTTCTTCTCCAACTTCTTCTCCAATCCGGCGGTGAGTCAAGCGGTTTCCGGTATCATTGCAGGCCAAATAGCCAAGCAGCTGCAAGGAGGCGGCGCCAATGGCGGCAATGGTGGTGCCAACGGCGGGGGCAATAACGCTTATCAACCAAGCGGAGGTTATTCATCCGGCGGCGGCGGTGGATCATCCGGCGGCTCATCTACTGGCAGCAATCTGCTCGGCGGCCTGCTTGGCTCCGTTCTCTCTGGAGGCGGTGCCAACGGCAACAATGGCGGCGGTGGCGGCGCCAGCAGCTTCCTGGGCAGCCTACTTAGCGGCGGCGGCAGCAGCAGCAACGGCGCTGCCAGCCATGGCGGCGGCAGCGGCCTTGGCGAGATCTTCAACTCCAAGAACTTTGGCGGTCTCTTCAGCGAGAACCCCTCTTCCCGTGGGGGCGGTGGCGGCGGCAGCAGTGATGGCTACTCCTCCGGCGGCGCCAAAAGCTACCCCACCCAGCCGCCCGGCAGCTACTACGGCAAATGAGGAGCGTCACACAAAAATTAAATAACTCGGAGTAAAACAATCTTGTAATAGTTTCCACCAATTTCCCCCTTTATAACTATGCTAAACATACTCGTGCATACTACACATATATAATCAAATGGAGGGTTTTCAATGAACTAATAGAAGAACAATACTTGCATGCAAAAACTAAAGCAAATACAAAAACAAATACATACAGAAATGCAAATACAAATTCAAATACAAATACATATACATGTACTCATGCGTTGATACTGAATTACATAATACTAATAATACGGAAATCAAATACAGTTCATATTAAACATAAACTAAATATAATAAACCAAAATCAAAATTCAAACAAATTCTGAAAAACAGAAACACAAACTGAAACAAATAACCCGCAACAAAACACAAAATCGATTTATTTGTAAATAGAAAGTCGTAAGAATTGAAAGCCAGACCACAAATTGCTTTTTCATTGTTTGCATGGGATTAATTAAGATGTCGGTGGTAAGTAATGGCAGCAGAAATGAAATAACACTCTATAATACAGTAGAACTCTATTATAAAGTTTAAAAAACCAATCCCCATGGCTAAAGCTTATATGGGTCGAAAGAGAGCTCTAATACGTTATATGCATATTGTAAAAAAATATTGAATACCCTTGTAGAATTAATGTTGATCCCGATTTTGCTTAGATTTGGATCATATGGAAGGATGATGTGATTTAAACAAGAACTTACATATAACCGATTATTCTCCTGGCAGCTATATGATATATATATAGTTGTCCGATCCGGCTAGTTCCGACACTGCAGGACGAACCTAAGCAAACTTCGTGACGAAAGCTTTAAAATAGACGTACAGAATTATTCGACTGTTTCTCTATTTGTTGCATATTTCATATTTTTAGGGCATTGGGTATTAAGGGATGTATTCATAAGGAGAAATATTCTGAATATGTGCATACTCTACTGAGCCTACATACCATTTGAGATCTATTTCATGGAAATAGGGCAAGGTATTGACAAACTAGATCTGCTCGGGCATAAAGGTGAGGCTCTCACTGGTTTCTTATATCGTTATGTTCGACATGCGGCAGACAGACGGACGGGCAAACAGACGGATATGTGTTATCTAGATCGACTCGTTTATGCTGAGCAAGAATATAAACGCCAAATGGGTTCGGGGAAGCATCCTTCTGCCTGATACGTACATTTGCACAGAACCAGCATACCCTGTTTCCAGCCGTTTTCAACGGATCCAGGCCACAAAATCAAATAAATATAAAATGGCTGAATGGCTGTTTACAATAGCTTCATTCATATGCCCACTATTTGCAGATAAAAATTGTCTGCAAATATAAATGAATCGTTTTTTTTTTACGTTGTGTTTCAATCGGCAAATTCGGTTCAGACAACTAAACAAAGCTGTGAATCGTTTCAGAATATTTAACAAATTTGTCACTATTTATGAGTTGTTCACGAAACATAAGCATTTGTAAATAAATTGTTAACAAGCTTTCAAGTGTTCGAATTTCGAAACCCAATTCGCTTTTTGCAAGCGAAACGTAAATACAAATGCAGTAAATAATAGCAACGATTTTTCTGTTGTCTTGATTGTTTGGTCAACTATCTGCCCATCTTGATCTCCACTTCTATATGCAAATATTCCAACCAAGTGTTGGAATCAACGGTTTCCGCCTTGCTTAGTCTTGTATCGTTCGTTTATTAAACCTTTGACTCGCACTTGCCACCCAAGAACGTATCAAATAAACTCTCACAAAATGAAAATTTGTTTGAAAACAAAAAGTTTCATAATTTCCCGAAACCCCAACTTAACGTGCACCTTTATCACATAAGGTAATGACAGCGAACATTTCAGTTTCCTAGCCTTTAGGGCTTGGGCTGTGCATTGAAAACCAATTAGTCAGTCAGTGAGTCACCCAGGACAACAATATATAGAGATAAACGATTACTTTGCTTTAAGATACACAAAAAAAGTGACACAAGTGAAAGTGCGAACAGAAATGAGGACTCATGAACGTGGAAAAACATGATCCAGCTCGGATCCTAAAGGCTGCGAGCAATTTGTTTATAGGCTTACAGCCATGACTGGCTTTATTGAATGCATGTATATATATTTTTGCCAATGAATGTGTCATTGAGATGAGGTTTCTTATGTCGTGCCAGTCGTCAGAGTTCATCAGTCGGCAAATAGGTATTAACAAGCGAAAATTCCACTAACAATTCTTATCGAGTGGCAGATTAAATTGTTTGTGCTGTTCCCAGTCGGCGTAAGATCCTCTTGAGTGCATCCGATCTGAGGCAACTACAGCGAACTGCATAGAGAATCAAGCAACTGGATGTGGGCAACATTGTTGCTCCCTGCAGCACCCCCCACCCAACGCTTTTGAGGTCATACAATATATTATACGCATACTAAGATCCTTTCTACTCAGGAGCTGTGCAGCGGCAACGAGATGGCCATTTGGCTTTGGTTAACCGACAACCATTTTGTAATTTATTTAAGTAATAAAATAAATATACGAGTATGTACATTGCGCCGGCAGGAGCACCTGCTCGGAGTGCCCCAGGAGCTGCAGCTACCAGGAGAGCGGGCTGATGCTGGGGCTGTAGCTGAGACGGGGAGGCGACACACACACACATATGTAAGCGGTTGTGCCAGAGCCAACGACTGCACATTAAGTGCGAGGACTGCCGCTGCCAGTGTTGGGTAATGCAACAACGTGTTGTAGCTTCTGATGTTGCTGTTGTTGCCGCTGCTGCTGCTGCTGCTGCTGCTGATGTTGCTGTTGTTGTCGGCAGCGAAAGTGCGCTTGAAGTGCACGGAGCACCTACTTGGCCAAAGTGAATTTAGTGTCAAGTGCAGGAAAATGTGAAAAGCAGCTACGAGTTAGTTTTTCATATTTAAGCAGCACTCGAGCG